TGAGCTTAACGTTCAATCACTATACCTACTGCGCTCGTATTCTTGATAGGTGAAGTGAAATCATTTCGTGCCCTGAGGCCTTTAAACGTCCAATCACATACCTACTGCGCTCGCATTCTTGATAGGTGAAGTGAAATCATTTCGTGCCCTGAGGCGTTTAAAATGTTCATTCACATACCTACTGCGCTCGTATTCTTGATAGGTGAAGTGAAATCATTTCGTGCCCTGAGGCGATTAAACGTTACAGCCCACGGCCATGCCATCTCACTTCGGTTGTTATCTGTTGTGTGGTGTGTACTTGTAGACCACCAAAGCCGTGCTGCAAACCATTGCCGTTGAGAACTGTTCATGCAAACTGGCTCACAAGTTCATGAAGGACGTCACCAACAGTGCTGTTCGAAAGGTTGCCCGTTTTGACACCACCACCCAGGCCGCCACCAAGATTATGGGTATGTCCTCGATATAGGATTGGGTCGTGAAATTGGGATATAATGGCACCTCTTCGTGCCAGTATTGGGCTTGTTCACTTTGCCTGTCTTCTTGGCTGCCTGTACGGGCCAGCACATTTCCTATTGTTATTCGTAAGCGTTTGGGTGTTTGATATGTTGGGCAAGGCCATACCGGGCCCTTGTTGGTCCTGTTTTTGCCCTTGTCGGTCCTGTTTTTAAGGCAGATTGTGGCCACCAAACAAGCACTTCATGTCACTTGCTCAGGTTTTATTTGGTCAAATACTACTCCCAAAAAAAGTATTATAGATCAGACCGAGGCTTAGCGTCGGTCGCGTATATATTTGCTCAATTATATCTAGAAGCATCTCTATTTGTATGTGTATAGGTATGTTGGTGGTATCTTATTATCCGCAGCCAGTTATCATATAACAGCCTCCACAGTGTATTGTGCCTTCCACCGCACTTCCAATGAGTGTCTTATCCGACCTCCTGCCGTCAAGGGCCTCGCCAACCCGCGCGCGTCTGTGCGAGTCAAAATCGTGGCCATTACGTAAACGGCAACTAAACTAAGCTACTTCGTACGTATATCATCTCAGACCGGATATATAACCATATGCATGGGATAAAGATGCATCTACCAATAAAGATGTGGTTGAGTTAATTTAGTGGACTAAGTATCTGACATGTGCTTTCTGTTCTGCTTGCAGGCACTGCCGCCTACGCTAGCTTTCTGGGCCATCTCGCCGTGTTCATCGTAGAGGAAGTGATGCTGTACAACGACGAAACTGTATGTCACACAACACAAACGACGATTGGTTTTTTGTGTTCGGTGTATGTATGTTGTTGGTATGTTATTATGTATATATGTGTGTATGAATGTATGTATTTATGTATGTATGCATGTATGTATGTATGTATATATGTATGTATGTATGTATGTAAGTAAGTATGTATGGATGTATTTATGTCCGTATGCATGTGTGAATGCATATATGTC